CTGATGCAGTCTTTGACATCGCCTTTTTTCGGAATTGAAATGTAAACTGAGCATTTTCAGTTTGTGGTTGTTGTTTTGTTTTCCATATTTGTTGGCATAATCTTGTTAAGATTTTGATGGACCATCTCTGTGGCTTGGAATAACTCTATTGATATCTATTGTTTCTCCCAATTGTTCTCAGTGAAGCTTTCACTTCACTATCTAAAACTATAGGTTCTTCAAATGTTTCTTTTGGGGAGGAATCTGTTGTCCTTTAATCTCTTCTGTATAGTTCTTCAATGTATTATTCCCATCTTTCCTTTATTTTATCTTATTCAATTAATATATTTCCATGTTGATCTTTCAGCACGCCAAGTGTCCCTTTGATTTCTTGGATCTTGTGGAACATATCTCTTGTTCTTTGTTTTTTATTGCTCTCTTCTATTTCTGCATGCCAGTCACTGGAAAGCTACACTTAGACTTCTGATTCTATTTCTGTCACCTTTTACTTTTGCTTCTCATCTATCCTTAGTAATTTCAAGAGTTGCATCAGTCATCTATTGAGGCTTTTCATTTCTTTTGGCTATAGGAACAGCCTTTATGCATTGTTCCATGATAATATATCTGGTTTCAGCCCATACTTCTGGCTTACAGTCGCTTGAATTTAATAATGCAAATCTGTTCTTTACATGGTCTTTAAACCCTTCAGGAATGCTCTTTAGATGGTATTTTGGCACTATGAATATTTTGGTGTTTTTCCTCAGCTTTATTCTAATTTTTGATATTAACAATTCATGGTCTGTACCACAGCAACTCCTGGTCTTGTTTTAGCAGACAGACTAGAGCTTCTCCGTTGCCTACTTCCCATTACATAATCTATTTGATTTCTATATTGGCCATCCAGTGATGTCCACATATACAATCATCTGTTCAGTTGCCTGAAACATGTGTTCACAATGAGCAAATTGTTGTCTTCAGAGAATTCTATGAGTCACTCTTCAGCTTCATTTCATTCTCCTAGCCCAAATCTTCCAACAATATTTGATTCTGCTTTGTTTCCTACTTTAGCATTCTAGCTACCCCACCATTTTTCTTCCCTGTTCTAGTCTTCCTCTAACTGAAATGCAAACCCAGTTCTGTTACCAATGTGTTTAATCTTGACTGCACTGCTGACTTACCACAAGGCTGTCCTAAAGCAAAACTAGTTTAAAGTAAAACTGGGCAATAGACGACCTCCAACAACCCAAGGTCATCTCCAAGGTTTTGTGGGCCCTGGCAGTCTGCCATCTTCACACTTCAGTGGGCCTCCCTCTCTCCTGTTGGAGACTGGGACTCACTTATCATTGTAACATGGAAGCAGCAGCAATGACAACAGAAATCTTTCCTATTCCTTGTCTTCTTTCTCACTGCCTGTCATATAGACCCTCAGCCTTTCCTTTGGAATACACCCATAAAGAGACAGAAGACCAACTTTCCCAGGCAGCTGCCAGTTATTTACTGAGAAGACAGTGCAGGTTGGGTAACAAATGGAGCAGATCCCAGATACATTCAAGAGAGTCAATGAGTGCCAGATATGGAATGACCCCAGATGCACCTCTGTGTACACATGAAATAGCAAGTGAAAAGAAAGACAGCAGTATGTGGCAATAAAGACAAAGTTTATCATAGGCCTGGAAGCAATATTTGACCATACCAGATAGTGGAGTTCTTGCCAACCATGCCAATTTCTGATGCTGAGCCTACAAAGCCCACTCTTGAAACTATTGAGGACTAAGATGCAATGTTAACTATATTGGTGTTTAATCATAAGATTTGATACCAATGCAGCAGTAAAAAAGGGACCAGAATAGCGTTGCCAACCCCCAGGTGGTGACTGGAGATCTCTTGGGATTATAACTGATCTTCAGGCAACAAAGATCAATTCACCTGGAGAACATGGGTGCTTTGGAAGATGGACTCTATGGCATTATATGCCACTGAAGTCTCTCCCCTTCCCAAACCCTGCCCTCCTCAAACTCCACCACTAAAATCTCCAGGTATTTCCCAACTCAGAGCTGGCAATCTCATAGATCAATATGATGAAAGTTAATTTGCAGAAGTTTCAAGGTTCTCCTACTAGCCCTAGCCAACTTGTTTTGAATCTTCTGTTTTGCAAAAAACATATTAAACTGTCACAATCTTAAACAGAGTCAGACCACTGGGCCATCAATCCCATTACTCACAGTGGTTGCACATCTCTTAAAGCCTGAAGCAGACATCTTTTCTGAACCTGCTATTTAAGATACCCCAGTTAAAAGCAAAGCATGCACTCTGCCTCTGAGTTAACAGTCCTTCACAGTCTTCTTGCCAGGCCTTAATAATACAGTTCTGAAGCACGCACTTTGGTCTAAATTTCCCCATTGCCACTTTTGTTAAATTCAGATATCAATATCTTCTGATTACCACTCAGTTTGAACAAAGATTTATTTTATTTCAGTTTCATTATTCAAGAAAAAAAATCTACTCTCTTTGCTCTCAGCCCAATTTTAACATATTTGCTTTCACAATTTATTATTTTATTGATTTTATAAATTATATAGGAACAAACAAATTAATGATGGAATATCCAGATGTCTATATATAACCACTTAGGTACTGAAGCCAAATGACGAGGAATAAAATTACTTAAGGATATGCTAAAGCCAGGGCAAGCTAGCTCTCATCAAAGCCTTCCTCTTTGGAGAACAAAAGAATATTAAAAAGATTTTCAAAATTCTACAGAACGCCCTAAAGCTTTTTGCTAGTCAAAATTTCAGACAGAAGAGATTGCTATCTGTGTTCACCCATGCAACAATCAGATAGCCAGTTCAGCATAGGAATCTAATTCAATGCATGCAAAACCCAATTAAACATACTACTCAGAAGGTGATAAAGGGGGGGGGGGAGACCCAAAATAACCTTTTGTGTCCTGTAGAAAAGCATACAAACTACACAGCAAGGTCTGGTCCAGAAATCTGAATGCTACACTACTGCAGTCAAGTGCAACTGGTAAAATGGCTTCATCCATAGTTAGACACAGGTGGTTTACAGTGACATCATGTTACACTGAACACAGAGAAAGTACAACAAATTTAGAGTCCAGTGGCACCTTCAAGACCAACAAAGTTTTATTTAAAATATGAGCTTTCATGTGCACACACACTTTTTTTTTAGAGAAAGTATTTTGCTGTGAAAATTAAGAAAATTGAGTTTTGTTCCAAACAGTCATAAGCTTTTCACCTGGACATTCATTCCTGTGGATGAGTGAATGAATCACCAGAGTAGTTGGAAAAATAGACATTTCTTCTGTCCCAAAAATGCAGTCACTGTATTCCAAGGAATATTTATTGTCTAAGGTATTTGAAGAATCATTACTCGTTACAATACTGAGAGTGATATACTTCTGAGGCTCAGGTTCAGATATGATGTTTACAAAACATTTAGGCAAAAGATGGAATCAAGTGAATATATGTCCATAACGGAAACCATTCATGTTAGATGAACACAAGATGCAACAATTTTCACCATGCATGCAAATCTCCTTATTTGGGCTTAGTTTCTCTAGTAGAATTTAAAATTGTCACAACCACGAGAGGAGCTGCTTCACACAAATGACTCTTTATATGGAAGGAAGGCAAAGTGATTCCAGCTTTTAGTGGCTGTTCAACCACAAATCTAACATAAAAAATTTTAAAAGAAAAAAAAAGAAAAAGAAACAGCCATGATCAATACAATCTAAACTAGACAAGACTACAGGAATGAATCAAGAAATGATGATTCACTTACAGAAAGAGCTACTGCATGTACATTTGAAAATGTACAATAATGGAAGAAAATATAGATGCCAACATAAAAATACTGACTTTAAAGGCAGCAAGGATATATGTTAAAGTATGTTAACCAAAACCTAAATGCTTTTGAGCATCATTCAGACAAATGGTCAATTATAGATAATACAAAGTCATAAAGTACTTTCTATGCTTTAAGATGAAACCAAGGTTTTGTCATAGAAGCAGAAATACAACTGGTGAAAGAGAGCCTCTGAATGCCCACATGTGTAGCCATAAATGTGTTTTCGCATGGCAACATTCTATGCTTGCCAAAATCATTTGGCTGCCTGAACTGCCATCAGAAGGTGTGCCTGAGTCCTGCCCACAGAGCCAGCTCCCACCAAAAGTCCAATCCGAACAGTTTACTTCAGCAGCCGAGCAGCCATTTCCCTGACCAGCCTTCTTCAGCAGTCAGGAGAAGATCAGCGGAGGAGCAGCCACGACCGTTTGCCTGCCAACCATTCTTCAGCCCTCGGGAGAGCCTTGCAGAGGTAGGGCCCATCTTCCCCCCCCCCCAGCTGGATTCTGAGGCAAGCCGGCAGGGCCTGCCTGGGGGGGGGAGGGCCACAGCTGGCCTACCTGGGTTGGCAAGGCCTGTCTGGGAGGCTGGGAGGCCTGTGGCTGGCCTACCGGTTTCCCTGAAACCATCCAGCCCTAAACTATCTTGCTGGAAAACATTCCTCAGCCACACTTCTCTACCATAAATGACAACTTTCAAAACTATAGACACAACACTCATTTCCGAAGACGACTCCTTCTCATTCCCACATAACCTACTGAGACTTTCATCATGGCCACTCACTTTCAACCCACCTTCTCTTGAGACTTCTGCTCTAACAGGGTGGACAGTGCAACCACAACCACATTGAATGACACGGACATCCAACATAAAATGACTGTGTAGACTGCCCAGTTGTTGATACTACTCCACAGACCCCTGTGTGCTACATTTTCTGGCCCACATTGTGTGACCTTGGACTCCAGCTATTGTGTAACATAAGGTATGTGAGACTTTATTTCCACATTTGTACCTTTCACTTACAGACTGCTAATATTTACTTTACCTCCTATGCATTTGTTACATATCACATCTTTCTAGAGCTCATTGTATTGTTTTCACAATGGGCTTTACTGCTAGTATATATATATATATGTATAAAAATACATACTTACCCTTGGTTGCCAGTTTTCATACTGCTTTTGCAAATTTGCACCAATGGTTTCCAGAGCTTTCTGTGGCCCCATTGACAAAGGATCTAAGACACATAAAAGAGCCATAAGTATTTTTGACCAGCACCTCAATTGCACTTAAGTACTTTCTATTACAGTTGGTTTATATATATATACACACACACACATTCAAATACTGTCATCCCATAATTTCTTTCTATGATCCTAATGCAGTCCTGAGAATGAAAATTAGTGAACTAGGCAGCCCATGTGAATTCTATACAAAATACATGCAAGGTAGAATGGATGGCTATAACAGTTTCTCTTTGGGTTAGGGTTAGAATAGGGTCCTATATGTCCACAGCCCTTACCCTTAATACCGGTTCTCCACAAGGCTGTGTGTTGAGCCCCTTGCTCTATACCCTCTAGACACAGGATTGTACCCCCACCCACCCCAGTAACACCATCATCAAGTTTGCTGATGACACCACTGTGGTGGGGCTCATCTCTGGGAATGATGAGTCTGCTTATCGGGACGAGGTGGAACGGCTTTGTGTTTGGCGCAGGGAAAATAATTTGGTCCTCAACACCACCAAGACCAAAGAACTGGTAGTGGACTATAGAAGGAGCAAAATGGACATCCAGCCACTGTTTATTGGTGGAGAACGTGTGGAGAGGGTGGCTACTTTTAAGTTTTTGGGAGTGATGATTGAGCAAAACTTGACCTGGAGTGCTAACACCACTGCTCTGGTGAAGAAGGCCCAGCAGAGGCTCTTTTTCTCAGACTTTTAAAGAAAAATAACTTGAGTGAGAAAATACTGATGTCCTTCTATCGTTGCTCAATAGAGAGCATTTTAACATACTGCATCTGTGCCTGGTTTGCCAGTTGTACGGCTGTGGATAGGAAAGCACTCCAGAGAGTTATCATCACAGCCCAGAAGATTATTGGCTGCCCTCTCCCGTTCCTGGAGGAATTGTACAGTTCTCGATGTTTGAAAAAAGCAAAGAACATTCTGCAGGATTTGTCACACCCTGAACACTCCCTGTTTGAACTGCTGCCTTCGGGTAGAAGATATAGGACAATCAAAACAAGGACAAACAGATTAAAAAACAGTTTTTATTCGAGAGCTAGTATTGCTTTAAATGCTGTATGAATTGGAATTTGGGTGACATTGGTGGTTAAGTTGCAATGTGAGCCCTAATGGTTGTGTGAGTGTGAGTGTATATGAGTATGGTTGTAGATCACAGAAATGATTGCATCTTTAATTTCGTTGTACTATGTACAATGACAATAAAGTATATTATTATTATTATTACAATAAAGTATATTATTATTATTATCATCATCATCATCATCATCTTTGATGTGGTCTCTGTGCTTCACACCCATGGGAGATTAGCGAGCAGTGGCCTACCTGGAGGAGGGTGCTGGCAGGACCTTTACTGCGTAGCCGAAGACAGAATGTGACATCCCATGTTGGTATTGGTGTTCTTACGGACGCCTAGGGCGTAGTGCCTGATGAAGGTGTTAGGTTTGGCCCATGTAGTGGCTTTGCAAATGTCCGTCAGGGGAATTCCCTGGAGGAAGGCAGTGGAAGTCGCAACAGCTCTGGTAGAATGAGCCCTGATAGGGCCAGGCAATGGCTGTTTGGCGATTAGGTAGCAGAGATGGATGAGCCCCGCAATCCACTTTGACAGGCGCTGAGCCGTGATGCGAGTCCCCAGCCTTGCTGGTGCATAAGAGACGAACAATTGGGAGTCTCGTCTCATTGGGCGTGTTCTATTGAGGTAGAACAGGAGAACCCACTTCACATCCAAAGTGTGTAAGAGTCTGTCCTCCGCGGATGTTGGGAAGAAATCCGGGAGGAAGACCTCCACCTGCAGGTGGAACTCTGACACCACCTTCGGCAGGAAGGAAATGTCCGGTACGAGGCAGACTCCGTCTGGCAAAAACGACAGGTAAAGCGTATTGTGTCGGAAAGCCAATATTTCTCCCACTCGCCTAGCCGAGGTGACAGCAATTAAAAAGGCCATTTTCCATGCTAGAAGTTTGAGACCGCATGTTGCGAGCGGCTCAAAGGGTTTCCTCGTGAGCTGGTGGAGAACTAAAGGAAGGTCCCAGGGAACAACTGGAGTTTTGACAGGAGGGTAGAGATGCAATAAACCTTTTAAAAAATGTTTTGAAAGTGGATGGGAAAACAGTGTGCATCTGTCAACTTGAACATGGTAGGCCGAAAAGGCAGCCAAATAAACCTGTAATGATGAATGGGAAAGTCCAGAGTCAGCTAGGGAGAGGAGGAATTGGAAAACTCTTTCGAGACCCACTGAGATGGCTTGAGGGGCGTCATCACCTAAGGAAGAACAGAACCGTCGCCATTTATAATTGTAGGATCCGCGTAGTAGGTTTCCGGGAATTCAACAAAACGTTCGCTACTCGGGTGGAGAAACCAGTGACGTTATCCTCCATACTGTCAATTTCAATTCTGGTATGTTGTGATGTAGGAGAGGGGAGTCGGACAGAAGGAGGAGGTCCTGAGCCGGAGGGAATTGATGGAATTTTTTTCCTGCTGATAACTCGAGGACTGTTGAAAACCATGGTTGCCTCGACCACCATGGGGTTATTAAGATGCAGACCGCACCATCTCTGAGTATTTTGCGGACCACTCTCAGAAGCAGAGGTAAGGGAGGAAAGAGGTACAGAAGTCTCGCGGACCAAGGGTAAAGGAGACCGTCTCCCAGAGATTGTGGATCCCTGCCTCCCCGGCTGCAGAACAGACAACATTTTTTGTTGCCATTGGTGGCAAAGACATCGACTTGGGGAGCTCTCCACCTGTGGAAGAGTGGGAGGAGGTATGTCGGGTTCATCCTCCACTCGTGAAGGCTGAGTCCTGCTCGACTTAGATGGTCTGCCTGCACGTTCATGTGTCCAGGGATGTGTGTGGCTACAAGGAAAATGCTGTAGGCAATGCAGAAGTTCCATAATTGAATTGCAAGGTTGCAGAGGCGTAGAGAAACAGTGCCTCCTTGCTTGTTGACATAAGAGAGCGCCGCGGTGTTGTCTGTGAGGACCATGACACATTTCCCCTTGATTAAAGGTAGGAAGCTGGTGACAGTATGTTGTATTGCCAGCAGTTCTAGGAAGTTTATGTGTCACTTCCTCTTCTGCGCGGCCCATTTGTCCCCAACGCACAAACCCATCATGTGTGCACCCCATCCCGACAGGGAAGCATCTGTGGTCAGGGTGATTTGGGGTGACGGAGGGTGGAAGGGTGCTCCCTGGAAGATATTGGAAGGGACAGTCCACCAAAGTAACGAGTCTCGTATGTTGGGAGGGGGGGATAGGACGACAGTGTGAGCATTGTTTGCTGGGTTGTAATTCCAGATGAACCACAGTTGTAAACGACACATTTTCAGTTTGGCAAAGACGAGAACCGATGTAGTTGCAGCCATAAGGCCAAGTAGCCTTTGGATTTGGAAGGCAGTGACAGAAGGGTGGGTACAGACGACGGTGGCTAAGGAAATTATGTCTGCCGCTCTGTCTTGAGGCAGGTAAGCCATGCATGTCGTGGAGTCTAGTATAGCACCGATGTACTTTATTCTTTGGACTGGACTCAATTGAGACTTTTCTAGATTGACTTGTAGGCCCAGATCCTTTAGTAGTGCCAGTGTCTCGGTGATGTTTGAGACCAGGGTGTTCTGGGAAAGCGCTACCAAAAGCCAATCATCGATATAGGGATAGATGGAAATACCCCGGAGACAAAGGAAAGCCGCAACCACAATCATAGTCTTCATGAAGAGTCTTGAGGCGCTGGACAGGCCAAATGGCAGGGCTGCATACTGGTAATGCTGTTGACCAATCGCGAAGCGTAAGTATTGACGGTGGGAGGGGTGGATGATGAGGTGGAAGTACGCGTCTTGGAGGTCAAGGGTGGCCATCCAGATGTGTTTCCACAGGAGTGGCACAATCTGCTGTAAGGACACCATGCGGAAGCTATGGTAGGTTACAAAACAGTTCAGTGCCCTTAGATCTAAAATGGGTCGAACGCCTCCATCTCTCTTCAGGACTGTGAAGTATCGGGAATAAAATCCCATCCCGTGGAAGTGTGCTGGTACCTGTTTGATGGCTCCCTTCTGCAAAAGGACGGACACCTCTTCCAGGAGAGGTGGGGAAGAGGGTGTGGAGACAACAACCGGAGTAATGGGGTTCTGGTGGAATTGGATACGGTAGCCTCGGGTCAAGATTGACAGCACCCATTCGTCCGAGGTGATGTGACGCCAAGTATGAAGGAAGGGTGATAGACGGGTTTGAACTGACTCGGTGACAGGGAAGTCAAAAATTCTGCTTGGAGGGTTTGACCTGTTTGGTACGGGAAGATTGTTGCCCGGGTCCAAACCTCGGTTTTTGGTATGGAGGTTTTTGACCTCCCAAAGACGTACGCAGTCTCCATTGTCTGTCTGGAGACTGACGACTTGGCACACGCCTCTGTCAAGACCTTGACCAGGTACGGGGACAGTATTGTTGTCTCGCAGAGGGTGACACTCCTAGAGCTCGAGAAGCCTTTATGCTCTTGTCTAATTCCAGGAGTGTAGAATCAGTAGTGGTGTTGAAGAGGCCAAGGCCATCAAACAGAAGATATTCAACATAAGACCTAGTATCCAGAGGGAGAGTGGTATTGCGAAACCAGGAATGGCTCCGGAGTGCTATAGCAGAGGCCTGTCAGGTTGCTCATCAATCAACGAGTCACTTCTCAGTTAAGAGGAAACTTTATTGAAAGGATGATTCACTAACAAGGTTTCTGATTAGAATGGCATGAAGGGGACCGTACAGGTAATGTAAAAGGAATTCAAACAGTCTCTACACCAATGGGTCATATTCCCGCCAGGAAGAAAGAAGCGCCAAAGTGCTGGGAATCAGAACGGTTCATGTAATCCAAAACATCTCTGTTCCCAGGCTATGCACAAAAGCTAAACCCAAGCAACTACAGCAATAAGTCTTATCTCTCCCCCTGTCCTTGAATTGTTTTGCGTTTCACTAACGAATTGCTGTCTGTGAGCATGCGCCTGGTTTGCTAGGCAACAACTATAA